GAGAAAAAATAAATATAAAAACCTTTTGAAGGTTTGTGTATCTAAGACATAAAATAGAAAAAAAATGGGGACAAACATGTCTAATATTATTCTACAATGAAATAATGCTGGAAAGTTAATAATAAAAGCAACAAGAAAAAAGGAATAGTAAACTTAGACAAGTTTTAAGGAAAGAAATGTAAGTCTGTATAAAGGGAAATAGATGAAATTGTTTTTAAAACAACAAAGATAAATAATTGCCAAGAACTAGAATTCAGCTCTTTTAGCAGATGCCGAATGTGACTTTTTTTTCCTTATAGGCACACTGGGTTGCTCAAAAAGAACTGAAGAACAAATAATAAGCCATGCAGCAGAAAGGCATAGAAAGTCTGATGGGATCATGAATTATAGTATAATAATAATTCAATATAATTATGAAGCATGCCTAAACCAAAGAAAGAATATGGATTATATAAACAGGCTCCCATTTCCATTAAATAGCTCTTATGTATTTCTGATGAGATGAAGTTTCTGTGTAGAGATTATTATAATAAACCATACTACCCAATTTTTTCCCCCACAAGTGCAATAGTTCACATTTTCAATTATGAAAATCCCAGTGATTTAAGCCAAAGGTAAGAACTGAATGGAAAAATCAACAAATATTATAGACATAACCACAGAGCAGACACCACCTGGCCTCTAAAAAAACATTCTTTTCATTGTTCTGAATACTCTTATTTCAGTTGCCACAGGCAGTAACATATAAACTGATAAAACTAGAATTTCAAATTAGGATGATTACATTTATTTGACAATTTTGGTGATGTTACTATTAAAGTCAGTAAATACCACGTATAGTATTTATAATGATACCTTACAAAAATGTAAGGTAGTGGAATACAAATAAACACACAGATATGAGAAAAAGGAATTATAAAGTTATAAAATGAGATCATGAAACAAGCTGAAGGGGCATATAACCATGGAAGCGTGGAAGATTTTAAGGAATATTAATATGGCTATAATTTTTCCTTCACTACACAATTATGGCTTCTGAATAAATGTGAGATTACTTTTAATTTAGTCACCAACAGTTAGCAACTGAATTAAAAAACAAATAAGCATGAAGCAATGGTTCCCAAATGGAATTGGCTCAAATTTCCTAACAACAATGTGAATGCCTATAACCTTGATTGCTTCTTTGATAATCAACATTATCTGTTGGAAAAAAGGAATGGGCGCCCTCCCCTTTTCAGAAGCTGCCCTATATCTGTCCACCACCTGACTAGCAGCTACTGAAGTCACAGTCACCCCTCCGAGCTCTGCGTCCTGCATTATGCCTTCTGGAATAAGCAACTACTAGTTGAAGTAGAAAGGTCTGAATGGGAGAGAAAAGTTTGGGGTAATATTAAAGCTTCCCAGACTTTACGACTTCCTTTATTTCAGCAGATCTTTGTAGGGGAGATTTCTAGGGGGCTATTAATAAACAAAACCACAACTGTACAATGGTGTTACTAACAAACTCATAAATGGTTCATTTTCTTTAGCATTTTCTTTGGGATGAGATTCTATTGTGAAATACTAAATGAATTTGAAAATGCATAACAACCCAAGAATCACATCACTGAGAGCTACTATGCCAGGCAAAATATTTTTGCTTTATTTTTGTAATTTATTCACTCTTTGTCAGGGTATAGCACATGAGGTACACAACAGATTCAAGCACAAGCCGGTCTAACATTGCAACTTACACACTGGCCACCATATTGTTTCCCTGAACATATATCCTGTACTTAGACAAATCTAATACTCTCTGTTTTCCCAACCTCTTGTTTCCAGGGACTTTTTTGTTTTCTTTGTTTTTAAGAAATATGCTCTCGGGTTATTAGCAGAACAAATGAACGAATCAATCAATCAATCAATGAGAGAGATAACAAATACCAACAAGGATGTGGAGTAAAGGGAACCATTGTACACTGCCAATGGGAAAATAAACTGGTATAGCCACTGTGGAAAACAGTATGGAGGTTCCTCAAGAAATTAAAAATAGAACAACCATATGATTCAGTAATCGCACTTCTGGGTATATATATCCAACACAATCAAAACTACAATCTTGCAGAGATATCTGCATTCCCATATTCACTGCAACATTATTCCAATAGCCAAAGTACGGAAACAACTTAAGTGTCCATCAGTGAATGAATGGATCAATAAAATGTGGTGTGTGTGTGTGTATAATGGATATACATATATATATACATACATATATATAATGGAATATTACTCGCTGAAAAAAAGGAAATTCTGTCATTTACAACAGCATGGATGAGCCTGGAGAGCATAGAAACAGTAGAAAACTGGTTGTCAGAGGCTTGGGGGTGTGGGAAATAGGGAGAGGTTGGTAGAAAAATACAAACTTTCAGTTATAAGATGAATAAGGTGAATAAGGTCTGAATAAAGTCAGGATCTAATGTATAACATGGTGACTATAGCTGATAACACTGTTGGTATAACTGAAATTTGCTAAGAGAGTAGAACTTAAATGTTCTCACCAAAATTTTTTTTAAATAAGATTAATATGTGAGGTGATGGATGTGTTCATTAACTTGATGAGGGGACGCCTTTCACAATGTAGACATGTATCAAATCATCATGTACATTTTAAATTTCTTACAATTTTGTCAATTATACCTCAATAAAGCTAAAAAATAATAATAATAAAGGACGCCCACCCTGGGTGATTGGAAGAAAAAAAGAAATATCCTCTCATCTTCTCCATACATGTATACCTTTGAAATTACTCTATTGAGTCCATCACCAGTATTCCTGACCAGTGTTTATATCAGGTAATAAAGAACAAATGGAAAATGAAGAAGTGGGATACATTATTCCTGATTTTAAAATGTTTACACTCCATTAGAGAATAAGAGAAAAACACACAAAAATAGTTTAATTACAGTAAAGAAGCTATCAGATTTAAGCAACAAGTGATAGAGATGAAAGACCTGGATTGAAAAGAAGGCACAAAGTGAGTCAGAGCAGCCAGAAAAGGCTCTGATTAGAAGATAAGAGATGAAAAGCAGGGATAAATAGCAGGGACAAAGACTCCCTGATGAGAATCGGTTGAATCTGGTCCCAGCAATAAGTAGTCCAGCTAGCTACTATGATGAATCCCTGAAGGAGGACAATATGAGAATATGTTATAAATATGCAATATTTTATTATAATCCCCAAATAATCTGTAAGAAAATTCATCTCCCTTTTCTAGCATACCTTTCCCGCAGGTGTTTTCAACCCAGTGTCATCAAGTAACTACTGATAGGGCCTGCAGAAGTTTAAGTGTCTGACATTTGGAAGGCATTCAATGAATGATTATTAAAGAAGAGATACATTAATGATACCTACTGAGCTGGACACATGTGTAGTCTTTATGCAAATGAGAAAAAATATCCTTGCATTAGCTGTCCCAAAATGCAAGATAGAATTGGAATGTTTCCAACAGGCCAGAACATATTTCAGGGATGATTTAGGATTAGGGTAATGATGCCATGAAAGACAAAAGAGGGCACAGAGAAGAGTATAGAGACAAAATGGATTCCCTTAAAATTTCACCTTGAGAAAAGGACATCTCTTATTCTTACAAAGTGAAGTGCTTAGCTAGACTAACCACATTTTCTGTTAACAAGTGTTACACTTGTCTCCTAAGTGCTATACGGTAGTCCGTATCTTATTCTGTAGCTGTCTTCTAGTGATCTGTACTCTGTTTCTATCATTTAGGTGAACTAAAAAATCACTGGAAATAAACGAATTTGATTCCAAAATCTTCTTTTGAATAATTCTCTAAAAATATTTACACACTAAGAAAACAATCAGTTATTCAGGGGCTAAATATATGCTTCTACAAAAAATAAATAACATTCTCATTGCAATTAGATACAAAAATGGGTGTCACAAATTAAATGCAATATAGAGTTGCTTTTATAACACATTATGCTGCTATGAGGAATAAAGGAATAAATATTTTAAATCATTCTTTCTCTAGCCTGAGATCATCCCTGAAAAATTATACTGTGCTCTATCCATTCCTGGTCTTTCAATCCAAAATGTATATTATTAATAAAATATAAGTATCTCAAAAAAAATAGAAAAAACTTGGGCCTTCTTTCTCCCACTTGAAGTATCATTTTAGCATGTGGTTTTTCAAAAAGGGCACAAAATCTAATATTCTAAAACATCAAACAGCAGGTAGACTTTATTGAATGCCTTTTAAGAAGCGGAGGGGTAATTACATCACACATCATTCAGAAAATCTGCTAATGTAATCTACTAATTAGTAACCTACTAACACAACTACTACTTTATAGCAGCCTTTGTCCCTGCAGTCCAACTCCTGCATGGGTAGCAGCCACTCCTTCAAACCCTTCTTTTCTGTTCCTTTCAAGACAGGAGCCCGCCCATCATCTCTTTCTCGCTCTTCTTTTGCCCTTCCTTGACCTTTCCTCTTGTTACATAATTTTTTCAGGGAGCTCTGTTGCCTTATAAAAATTAATTTTCCTCTTTGGCTTTTACAATTCTCTGATCCAAACATCACAATATTAGCACAACAGAGTAAACAAAGATTCTCCTCAGGAAACTAGAAGAAAAATAAACCGTGAACACTTAAATATTTTTTAATGTTCATACATATAAGCATACTAGGAAATAAACGTTGCTCCAGAATATTCATTACATAAATGCTTTTCCCAGGTGGTATCCAATTAGTTGTTCGGAGTGAGTATATTAATTCTTCCAAGTCTGTAAGTTTTAATTAGCATTAAGGCTACATTTGAATTGCAAAATTATATAAGCACTGAAATCACTGATGTAACACACCTTGGAATTTGGATATTTCATACTAGAAGAAAGCATGCATTTTTCCTTAGAGTTACTCCTTATTTTTCAGTTTTACTATTACTTTCACTATCCTCTAGTTAAAATTTTGATAATTAAAAATACTTAACTGCCTGTAATCTTACCATTGTTGTCTCTTGAATAGATCCAAAACTGTTGATAAAAATGTTGACTACTACATCAACAGGAATGCCTACAAATAAAAATTAAGAATATATTTAGTAGCTATAAAAAACTTGGTCAGAATTTTCATATTTTTATGGTTTATGGACTTGATTTTATATTTTTTCCAAACCACATGGGATGTAAAACTTTAAAACTATGGTCTCAGTATTCCATGTTCACAATTGCTATTGACTTATTTTTCTAAGCAAGGATTATAATAAAAATAAAAAAGGAGTTAAGCTGTATTAACTCATGTTATTTATTCAGAAATATTTATTTCTTAAATTGTTAAGACTCTGAGTAAATATGTCTACCTTTAAAGAAATTTTAAATTGAGCTAATGCATTTATTTTAAGAAATTAACATAAAATATTCTTTAAAAAAACACCATTTTTTAAATGTTTTAAGTTTTTGCATTTTTATAATCATTTCAAATCTTACTTTCATTAGTAAAGCAGTATTCAATACGTCTTACTTACAATGACTATATTTTGATTTTTAATTCATGAATATGCGAAGTCAATCAGACATATAACAGAATCATTATAAAGATTTTTGCCTGACCTGTTGGAAAATAATTTGGAAGCTCATGGAGTGAGAATTAAGGTATAATGTTGCAAATTTCTTGCTTGCTTGCTTTTTTTTTTTTTTCTTTTTTCTTTTTATTCGTTGTCGGCTGCTGGTTGGGCTAACAAAGGGAAAATGTGAATTTAGCCTTTTAGCCACAGAACCACTGACTGATGAAAAACAGGTGGTGAATCAATATATGGTAGACATGTGACAACCCAGACCATGGCTGTTGTTGAAAGTAACTGAATAGGTTCTGGTAATGAACAAAAACCCTGTTTTTACAACATAGTTGTATAACTTCAGTTGACTAGAAACAGCTGCAGACATTTTTTTTTTTTTCTGTAAAGGAAGAAGAAAAAAATATCAAGCCTTACAATGTTAATCTGATCTACATTAATACCTGTCCTTAGCCAGCAATAAGGATTACAGTTTTCGAGAGGAGACTTTTTTCAGATAGCTTTTCCTAACTCATCAAGAGGACAAGAAAAGAAAATAAGAAAAGAAAGAAAGAAAGTTCACACAGCTATATAATCTTCTCGTGATTTTTATTGCAAGTATGGTTTTGGTTCTTGAAAGGTGTGATAAATAGTAATATTCTGTTGGAGTAGAAACGATCTATGCTGTAGAAAACACGGTTGCTTTTATTCACAAAGTTAACATGTTTTTAAAAACCATGTGGCCATCTTTTTTCAGCAAAAGAGTAGAGGGAAATTTTTATCAATGTGAAATGCTAGCAAAAATTTTAAAAGAATCTAAATACATATCAGAACTATTGTCTATCCCTAACAAGTATAGGCTATTCTACAAATTATAACTTCGGTTTCTGTGAATGAAAGCCAGATCCGTGTCCAGAGCTTGAAATTTAAATCACTAAGGTTAGCAATACTAAGTACTTAGTAAACCCATGACGGAGGTTAATCTAATCAAAATATACTTATTTTTGTTCTTTTAACTGGGAACCGTATAAAACTGTAAGAACTAATATTCTGCTTGTCTTTGAGTATCTTTGTCACTAAATTGCTCTAAGTCTAAGCAACATCACAGGACAGTAGCATGCCAATTTGAAACCTTATTGTTTTGAATATCATAACTGAATGATTAAACACATAAAATTAAGTTTTAAACTGCAAAGATTGAAGATTTGGGGTGGGGGGTAAGAAACAAACCTTTAAAATTTGGTCTTATCCTGGGATCATAACTGACCAATAGCCTATTCAAGATATTGCTAGTGGAGTTGGCAGGTACTCGGGCAAGGTCCTCTGCTGACTGCTGGCTATAAGAGAAGAAAACAAAACAAAACTCTGGTAAGCATTTAGAAATAGCCAGCAATAGAAATGGGTAATTTTCCATGGAGAAAAGATGCTTTTTGAGACAAATTCACAACTACCACAAGGCTTTTCCAAATAGAAGTAAATAAAAATAGCAGGCATTGTCAGATGCCCAAAAGCTAGTTGTCATAAAAAATAAAAAACAAAAAAAGTATTTTAGCACTTAATTTTCTAAATTCATGAAACACTGCCCTAAATACTCCCTGTTGCTTTCTTTTAAATTAAATTAAGCAAACATCTTACTTGTTCAGAAGTAATCTGCAATCAAAATCTAGAGAAGCACAAAGGGAGTGCAGACAATGAGATAAAAGGGAAAAAAAAACAGCAAAAAATAGTTTTTAAATAATGTATATTAACCTTCTGCCTAAGCAAAGGAGTATGTGAATACTATAATTATGAGGATATGGCCAGAGAGATAGCCTAACAATTCATAAAACTATCATGCTGACATTTATAAAATGGTATTGCCTAAGAAATAACCAATGAATGTCCTCACTGAGTTTACTATGTTGGGGAGAATGGTGGGGGGGAGAGGGAGGAGGTAGTGGTAAAAGAAGTTTCTCTATTACCAGATCAATTAAATAAGGAAAATACAGAGCTACAAGTTTCAGCTTTCTTTTCTACATATGTTTGCTTGTCAACTATCAAAAAGAGAAAAAACTGCCACATTTTTCTATTTTAAATAACTTAGAACAATTAATTTTGACCAAATTGGTATCATTTGAAAGCACTTAAAAACACAAACAAAAAATGCACTTCCTTGGAATCCAATGAAAAATGCTTTGTTGTTTACTGTTTGTTTCAGTTTGTTTTACCACCCATAAAGTCTTATATAATCATTGTCCCAGTACAAAAAAAAAAAAAAAAAAATCCATGACAATCACAAGGAAGTTTAAAATTATGCTTGGAGCATCTAGCCCTGTCTATTCTATTCTGTATTGATATGGTGAAAGTGTCAGTTTCAAAAACGATATTAATTTATACGAAGCAAACTTAGAAGTAAGGGGGGTGAGGGGATGGGTTAACCTGGTGACGGGTATTAAGGAGGGCTTGTATTGAATGGAGCACGGGGTGTTATACGCAAACAGTGAATCATGGAACACTACATTAAAAACTAATGATGTATGGTGATTAACAAAATAAAATTAAATTAAAAAAATAAAGTGTAAGCAGACTTATAATAAACTAAAGCTTTTACAGGCAAAAAAAACACAAAAAACAAAAGTAAGGGGCATGGCTTTGTTTTGAAATCCAAGCTCTTACCTATCAGGCAATTCTGTTCTGAGTTAATTATCATACAATCTGCTGATAAGATATAACCCCTAGAGGTGGGGTGGGACTGATATTAAGTTTATAAAAAATCAAAAAATACTACAAACTGATACAATCTTTTCAAGTAGATATCAGAGTCCAAAATATTAAAGAAAAACATGATAATCAGTTAGTTAAACCTCCTAAAGGTGCAGGAGATTATATATATTATTTTAAAATTGCTTTTCATGGCCTTATCAGTGCCAATATCATAGCTGCAGGGACTTGGGGACTGGTAATGAGATTTTCCATTTCACTGCAGGTGAAATTGTAACCTCCCTAGAGCCAACTGTCATCCCTTATCAAAAGATTGAAAACTCTAAAGAGAATGAGGGTATGTGGGAAAATTGGATATTAGGATGCAAATTAGTGTTCAAACCCATCCAAAAGGTTTCTCATTCAGGGGAGGAAAATAGAATTGATTGATTACAAAATACATTTGTATTGGATCAATTAAGGACTGCATTGTTGTGTCTCTTGATGTAAAATCCTTTACAAGTACATTCCTTCTAAGCAATGAAATGACCAGACAACATAAAAACAATTAACACTAATTTTAGTAGTAGAGAACTTTCCAGACTGATTTTTTTCTTCCAGCTGTGGAAGATGTCTCTTTGGAATATGGATTATTCTGAGCTAAAGCCCTGGAAAACAGCAAATGCAGGGGAGGCTTTCTCTGAACTCCTATCTGCCTATAGACAGATTCTCCAAAAGGAATTTACTGTCATAAGTCCCCTCCCTGGGAGTTTCATCAACTAAAGAAGATTGACTCTTATCACAGGAGAGGGCACCCAAAAAACTTTGTCACAAACTATCATACCTCCCATCTATTCTTCTAAAGGCCCATTCCTCTTTCCTAAAAATCCCATATTCTCCCTTAAGAGGCACACATCCTCCTCCCCTTTCTCTATGAAGAACATAATATAAGCTCTCAAATCTCACCACTCTTCAGGTAGTCACTTTTTTTTTTTTTAGCTCTGATGCCCCCATGAATGTGGTATTAAAAATTAATAATTTGTATACTTTTTCTCCTGTTAATATTCTTGTTGTCGTTTACTTCATAGACCTAGCTATTGAGGATAGAAGGGAAAAAAATCTTTCCTCCCCTACCGCTGTAAGTTGTGTCAATCAAACTCACTTTCTAGTCCTTGTAACTCAACCAAATTTTGCCCTTCCTCCATTCACTGGTTCAGAATAAATCCCCCTTCCCCCTTCCACTTCTCATTGTACTAATCTAAACCCAGCCTGTCCTTTAAGATTGCCCTCCTAAAATCTTGCCTCAATCGTCTCATCTTATGCTAATGAACACAAACATAAATATACTGTTTGGCAATTATATTATAGCTTTTTTTAATATCTGTGTATATATTACCAACTAGACTGAATGCAGACAGTATGATTCTTGAGGGAATCATGGCTTCTATATTTTTGCAATTCCCTATACTGTCTGATAGTATGAAATACACACTATCTCAAGCACTTTTCATCTGCCAGCTCTTTTTTTTTTTTTTAAGATATATTTATTTGAGAGAGAGAGAGCAGGGGTTGGGGGTTGCAGAAGGAGAGGGAGAGAACATCCCAAGCAGACTCCACGCCCAGCACTGAGCCCAACACAGGGCTGTCTCACCACCCTGAGATCACGACCTGAGCCAAAATCAAGAGTCACAGGCTCAGCCGACTGAGCCACCCAGGCGCCCTCTATCGGCCAGCTCTTCTAAGTAGACTTCAGCCTCAGGATGGCTGTGTGCGCTAGAAGCCGTTCCACACATCACATCCAGGTAAAGAGCATTTCCTCCTGAGGCGTCTTCTTAGAATAAGGGTTATTTTTGTTCTTTTGTTTTCTTCAGAAGCTTCCCAGCATTGGCTACGGCTGAACCAATCACTGGCAAGGAGAAAAAAATGATCATGATTGGCTCAGATCAATAGTCCAGAATGAAATAGATAATTGAGAAATCAACTATCATGTCCATTACATTCTTTATTGATAATCACAAACGCTCCCTTGATGAAACAGGAGAGATTATTAACCACCCAGAGAGCTGTTCTTCAGTGGAGAGAAAGAGAAAAATCCTGATTGGTGGAAGAGTACGCAGTAGGTGAGTTAATGGAGCTACTGAGGACATACACACAGAAACTAAGACAGCAAGGCTAAGAGAGTATCCTAAGGTAGTAGAGTTATGAAATCTGGTAATCCTGATTCCTAGTTATCATTTCACAATAAACTGCCATAATGGAAGTGAAATAGTGTCTATCTTATCACCATCCATCCATATATTGCTTTAGGATATATACATTATATAAATGTGTGTGTATAGATGTATGTGTGTGTGTAATAGATATATTCTTAGTTTCTATTAGTCTTACTTATCATTGGTCCTGAAAAATCTGAGTCTGCTCTTTCTATAACTTATCAGAGTCACTCTTCCATCCAGACATCCCCAAATGTTTTTCTTTCTTTCCACAGCTAAAAAACAAAAACAAAAAACAAAAAACAACAAAAATTCTTGTTTATTAACAACAATAAAAAAATCAATGTTGGCTAACAAAAATCTCTTCAAATTAATAAAAAAGGAATATATCAAATACATTATAGCCCCTTTCTTTTATTCTTATTTGTATCAATGTCTGTTGTAGTTAACCTGATATGAATATTCAGTTAACAGTTCACCTTTCTTTATACTAGAAAGTCAAAGATATTTTAAAATTTAAGTGAAATCCCATGTAGTTCATATTCACATGCATGAAATCAGGGGTTTTTCCTACCCGAAAACAATAAAAATCATTTGTTTAGCTCAGTCAATACTAAGATAATATTAAAGTCATCTCTACATGTTAAGATACAGTTTGAGTCTAGAAGCTACAGCACTTTCTGCCAAAGAGCTGAAATAATTTGCATTTTTTCCTCTGTCTGCACTTTACTTTATAAACCTTATAATTTGGGAAAGTGACTAGTACTATTTACACAACACAAAAAGAAAAAGAAGAGTTAAGTGCATTTAATTAGGTCACACACTGCTATGTTTCATTGTTAGTCTTTATCTTCTGCATCTCAGTCCAATATTTTATCCATTTGACTATGCCATTTTGCTTTATTTCAAGAAATCTATCAACAATTCTATTATGACAAAACAGGATTTATTCCATAGAAATGTGATATTAATTTAAGAAAATAACTTACTTTACTCAGGCAAAGTGATCAAATGACTAGAGAAAATAATGTTTTATATCAAATGCCTTTTTACAACCAGTCTTCTTTTGTTCACTCGCCTAAACTTGAACCGATGTCATTACTAATATGTGAAGTTATGCGAGGAATGTATCAGGCTGTATAGCTGGGTGATGTAATGTTTTCCAGCACTAAAGGAAAAATCCAGAAATTTCTTTCCAAAGGGGAAACTCAGTTTTCCATTAACTGTAGAACACTCTTATTTTTACATGACCCTTTAGTGACCATACTGCACAGTTCAATATCAAAACTGGTGTGTACGAGCCTATTAACTGACCGTCTTCTCTCCAATCAGGAATCTGAGTCCAAAGGGATGCTTTTGTTTTTACGGAGCTATAAACGCAACAACAATGGTCAAAGTTCTTTTTGGACTTGCAAGCAGTCTGGCATATGCCAGCATGAGGAATCTGCGTGTGGGAGCTGCAAAGCCTCCAGCTGGACATGAACTGAGGCAAGAACAAAGCAGTAAAGAAAGAGCAAGTTTTGTAAAATGTGTAGGTTGTGTTATTTCTCCTCTTTACATAAGGGCAGTGATTCTTTACCTCTTTTTAGGTTATGGACAACACTAAGAATCTGGTAAAATCTATGTTCTTCCCTGAAAAATGCACACAAAGCTTACAACACTGAGGATCCTGGGCCTGAACACCTCAGGTTGTAGAAATTTTCCTTTGTGGAAACAAATGCTGTATCCTCATCTAAAATGAAAGGAAAGGAGAAGAATTAAAAAAAAAAAAAAAAAAATCAGATATCTCATAGCAACTGAAAGCTCAAAAAAAAAAAAAAAAATGAGAGCGTGTCAAAGGGACACAGAAGCCAATGGAAAGGTTTCCCAAATGCTCAAATCTAAATCATTTGAGCAACTAAATAAAATCATATTGGTTTATATTCCAAAGTATAAAATAAAAATCCATGAGTCCATATGGATACCAATAAATGATTAAATAAATAAATGAAGGAGAATAGACAATTCTCCCATGCATAATTCCAAATAATTGGAATTTCAAATAGATCCTCTATTCTCATCTGGTGGAGTATAACTCCGCACTCCTTAGCATGTGCTGTGCATAGTGACTTCCTTCCAAAGAATATAGTGTGGGAAGGGGGAAAAGAGTGACTTTACAACAAAGAAACCTGACAAATACTACCTTAGCCAGGTGATCAAGGTTAACCTCAACAGTGTTAAGTCATGTTGATTTTATGTACCCTTAATAAAATGTGATGAGAATGGCATTGAATCCTGTGACCTTCCTCCCAAAAACACATAACTCCAGTCTAATCCTGAGGAAAACATGAGATAAATCCCAGTAGAGTGACATTTTACAAAATACCTGACTAGTACTCCTCAAAACCATCATGGTCATGTAAAAAAAGGAAGGTCTGAGAAATTGTCACAGCCAAAGGAGCCTAAGGAAACATGAAGACTATATGTAATATAATATATTGAATGCGATCCTGGAACAGAAAAAGGACATGGGGTAAAAACTAAGGAAACCTGAATAAAGAATGGACTTTAGTTAGTAACAGTGTATCAACAGTGGTTCTTCAATTGTAAAAAAAAAAAAAAAAAAAAGTATCATACTAATGCAAGATGCTAATAATAGGAGAAACTAGGAGCAGAGTATTTGTGAACTCTATATTTTGGCAATTTTTTTGTAAATCAAAAGCTGTTCTAAAATAAAGTTTATTTGGGATGCCTGGGTGGCTCAGTCATTAAGCGTCTGCCTTCGGCTCAGGTCATGATCCCAGGGTCCTGGGATCGAGCCCCACATCGGGCTCTCTGCTTGGCGGGAAGCCTGCTTCTCCCTCTCCCACTCCCCCCTCTTGTGCTCTCTCTATCTCTCTTTCTCTGAAATAAAATAAATAAAATCTTAAAAAAAAATTAAAAAAAATAAATAAAATAAAATAAAGTTTATTTGAGGGGGAAAAAAAAGCAGAGTGCCAAAGACTTTAACTTCACCAAAGAATACAAACAGATGGCAAATAAACCTATGGAAAGAAGCTCCACATCATATGGCACAGGGAAATGCAAATTAAAACAATGATTTTTCATTGCAATTTTAATTTGCATTATACATCTATTACAATGCCAAAATCCACAACACTGACACCACCAAATGCAAATGAAGATATGGAACAATAGGAACTCTGACACATTTCTAGTGGGAATGCAAAATGGTGCAGCCACTTTGAAAAACAGGGTGGCAATTTCTTAAAAAACTAAACATATTGTTACCGTACGATCCAGCAATCTCACTCCTTGGTATTTACCCAAAGGATATAAAAACTTAATGTCTACACAAACAAACCTGCACAGAAATTTTTATAACAGCTTTATTCATAATTGCCAAACTTGGAAGCAACCAAGATGTTTTTTAGTAGATGAATGGATAAATAAATTGTGGTACATCCAGACAATGGAATATTATTTAGCACTAAAAATAAATGATCTATCAAGCCATGAAAAGACATAGAGGAACCAGAAATACATATTACTAAATGAAAGAAGACAATATGAAAAGGCTACTATGTGATGATTTCAACTACATGACATCGTGGAAAAGGTAAAACCATGGAAACTGTAAAGGAGGTTGTCAGGGACTGGGGTGAGTCGGGGATTAACAGGCAGAGCACAGAGGATTTTTAGAGCAGTGAAAATACACTTCTAGATAATCAGACAGATAGATATACAAAGACAGAGAAACACTTTATATATTCAGGTAATGAATTAAGTCGGTAGTTATGTATGAATCCAGATAACTGCAAGGTTATTATAGAGGGGTTTTATTTGTTTTGTATTTTCCTAATTACAGTATAACTTATTATTACCTCTCTTGACAGCTTCTATATTTATTTTCCATTCTGTTTTCAGAGATTCAACTGTGAACAGAAGGTTTATGAATACAGTGAGTGATACCTTTTACATGACTAGTTGAGTTTAATTAGTTTATATTTATTCAAAAAGGATGTGTTTATGGTACGTGTGCCTATAGGTGGCACAGTCTACTGTGTTATTACAGGCCAAGAATCATAACTAAGAACAGTGTTTCACAGCAATCATTTTATTTATCCCTCAATTGGGCTTAAGGAACTGTTGGATCCTGTGGAAATATTTTCATATCTTGTCTACCTTCAATTATGCAATTACATCATCCATGGCTCAAAGAAAAACATTTTTCACAAAGTAGAAACATCTATTTGCAGAGATGCTGGATTCTGGATACCAGTGACTTCCCAGTCTCATCAGAGGCTGTGGTCTTTTTTAACTTTCTATCACATGTGAGATTACTCATCCTATGAATACTACAAGGATCGTCTACTGACTCGTATGTTTCTCAAACAGTGTAAAACACTGTACATTCTCACTACTTTGTATTGGTTTACTAATTTGATAGAAACCTCATAACATAAGGAAGCAAACTTAAACCTCAAAACACTCACTGAGCAATTACTTTCCATGCTCTGCAGAAAGAGTACTATATCCTGGCTTAACAAATACGAATCCATAGTAATATCTCTAACTGCTACCAACTGTAACTACAACTGTACTTATCTTTTCTCAATTTTCTATTTCCATACAGAGATAAATATAAAGTGTTTCCCTTCCCGCCTAACAGAAACGGTGATAAGATAAATCCCACACTCACACACACATAATAAAGTTAAGTGTGGGTATAACTGAAGAAACACTTGTCTAAGAGCAAAGAGACTAGCATTATAGACCCCAACAGACTACTATAAGGTTACTTACTCCATTATATTGGGCACATCCCTTTCTGAGCCTCAGTATACTCACCTTTAAATCAAAGGTCTAAATAAGGTGATCTGTAAGATCCCATTTGGTTGCTCATCCAGTTCTACTAGTAGTGGATGCTGTGGTACCTTATCCTCCCCATCACCCCTTTGGAACTGAGGCTTCTGCCAGGAATGCGGGTTTCTTAAGGCTCTGAACTGGGTCACTTCTAGAATAGCCTTCAGCTGAAGGAAGGTGTCTTGCCCTGGAGTCAACTCATACCGGAAGACTTTGATATAGGGACACAAAAGTATTCAAGTCTCTTCCTATGATTGAGACAACTTTGAAAGACCATTCCAGCTTCAGAGCTCCCTGTAGCATCAAACCCATGCCTCAGGTGCAACTGCACTGTTCCTGTGTGTGAACCTGCTTCCCGTTCCCAAGAAATGTTGTTCCAAAAGCAATCTCTTTCTGCATGGAAATCTTCATCTCACGGTCCGTCTTAGAGAGAACTCAACCCACAACATCAACTAAATAATGCAATTCCTTAAAGAACAACAAAAACATAACTATCACTCAATTATCTATATGCTAAATATTTCCCTGACTTTAGTCATTCCTTGAATTCATTTAACAAAGTTTTTGAGCATTTTCTATACGCCATGCACGATACCATGTGCTGGTTATGTGTTTAAGAATCAAACACAAATGTTGGTTATTCTGATGAAAATGTAGTATTTAAAATTGTGGGTTCAGACAGATTTATCTAGCGGTTCTCAGCTTTGCTGTGCACTGACTTCACCTGAGAAACTCTGCAAACGACTGATGCCTAGTCCCACCCCAGATTTAATTAGTATGGGATGAAGTCCAAGCATCAGGATTTTAGAAGCTCCTCAGATGATTCTAATGGTCAGAAGAATCACTTGTTAGAAAAGAGAGTTTACAGTGAAACGATACGGAATTAAAAACTGAGGAAGTCCAACATTTAGTGAGCAGATGGAGGAAGATAAACCAACAATTAAGACAAAGAATAAACCGCCCAAGAGGAAGGAGGAAATCCAGAAGCATGTGGTGGCAAAAAAACTTAAGGAGAAAGAATATTTATTTATTTATTAAGATTTTATGTATTTATTTGACAGAGAGAGACACAGAGAGAGAGGGAACACAAGCAGGGGAAGTGGGAGAGGGAGAAGCAGGCGTCCCGCTGAACAGGGACCCTGATGTGGGGCTCGATCCCAGGACTCTGGGATCATGGCCTGAGCCGAAGGCAGATGCTTAGCGACTGAGCCACCCAGGTGCCCCAGGAGAAAGAATATT